ATACAGAATGACGGACCGCTATCTTTAACTTTCAATTCTCCTCAAGAAGCAATGCAAATCAACGAGCCGCCATCTTTAACTTACAATTTACCTCAAGAACTAATAAAAATCGACGAGCCGCCATCTTTAACAATAGAAATTTTGACAGCCATTTATAATGATCAAGACTTTACAAATAACTTTATGACAGACATTTATAATCAACAAGACTTTACGACAGCAATACATAATCAACAAGGCTATACTAATAACTTTACGCCAGCAATCGCCAATCAAAATTATACGACTAATGATTTAGCTCAAAATTCGATCGATATGTTCAACCAAACAGGCTTTTTCACTGAAAATAATGAAAGTTGCAATATCAATAACGATAATATTTCTTCAACGCTGAACTCACTGATCACTAATACTCCAATAACACCACCCGCATCGCAATCACAATCAACATCATTCTCACAACTATTTATGACGAAATATGATTTATGTCAGTTTTAACAATTTGTTATATGATAACCTTTCCTCTTAATAATTTTTATTCAAGTTTGTATAGTGTTATGTGTAATATCACGGAGCCTAACGTCTCGTGACAAAGTAAAACAGCTCATTATATAATCTTCTTCATTCATTCGAACTATGACTAAGAAACTTCCTTCCACACTTAATACGACTTTTCCGGTTTTTCCCTCTGTTTATTGTTCAAATACAAATAATGAATCTTTGAAAATGTTTCTTTTTATATTCAAAAATTAACCTTCACTTGATATAATTAGATAATTAATACAATATAGAAAAGCATCATTAATAATCCCTCGCAAATAGTATTTCTGGAATTTATTTTGCTTGCTTTTGCGATTTTTATTAGACGTAGCTTGTCGTTCTTTCGTTCTTTCGTTCTTTCGTTACTTCGTTACTTCGCTACTTCGTTACATCGTTACTTCATCTAATTCATTTACTTTGTTGTTTCGCTATTTCGTTACTTCCTGTTCTTTCAATCTTTTATTTTTGTTTTCTCTATGTTTTGAAGAGCAAAAGTAAGATGCATCTAATAGCATTCGTAATATTGCCTTCGTGTGGTGTTTTTATTATGAAAAAGGTATTAATGCAATGGTATTTTTAATAAGCAAATAAAGCTAGACGACGAATAATCTTTCTATCCAATTATTGGATAAAATCTAAACTCAAAAAAATACCTAATTTAAAAGATTCATAGTAACTTTTATTTCACATGATTATTATATTAGTACAGAAACGCGTGCTAATAATAGATTATTGCTCCTTTGAAAAACTTGCCAATATTTTCACAATTTCGTAGTGGATTTGTATAGCTAAAAACATAAATTCTGATTTGATTAATTTCTGAGCTATTTTATGAGCATTAAATTTTAGCAAAATTCAAAATAGTGATTCGAATCAAGAGAAATAAAAATTGATTTTTTTATAGGCCGAGCTATTTTACGTTTCTATAGAAGTTGATTCCATGATTTAGAAATTACAAATTTCTTTAGGAAATTATTGCATAGATAAAGAAAAGCGCTAAATAAAGTCGTGATTAGGGCTCCAAAATTTACCGAACCGATCGGTAATTTCGGTAACGGTTCGGTAATTACCGGCGGTAATTCGGTAAACTTCGGTAATTGTGATATTAACACATTATCACATGTATAAAATATAATTCGTGAGATTTGAACGTAAAATCTACCATAATGTCAAGTTTTAACACACTACGTAACTGCTATTAATTAAAAATATTGGTTGGGTTCTATTCTACGTATAGGTAAAGTTCATAATTTTTGCACATTGCTTCACGAGATATTATCCGAAACGCAAATAATGCGTTGTAGCAATTTATTTACGTTTCGCATAATAAATATCTCGTGGAGCACTGTGCAAAATTTTATATATATTAATTATTAGCATTTAGTGTTAAAATTTGACATTATGGTCGATTTTACTTCAATTTCACGAATACGTAATACTTTGGCAAATTCAGAATCTTTCAAACCCTTGATTAATCAACAATTAATAACGTTAATTGATTCATTGATCAATATTTCGGTAATTATTCGAAACAAGTGTTTCGAATATTTACCGAACCGATCGGTTTACTGATCGGCAACGGTTTTTTCGGAGCCCTAGTCGTGATTGAGTCTATATAAACCCATTGTTTGTTCCATATCAATTTCACTTATTACAAAATAAATTAACTAAAATGACTATTTCCAGCACTAATTACGAATATTTAACTGATATTTCCAGCACTAATTACGAATATTTAACTGATATAAAACAGATGTCCTTACCAATTAACTCCTTCGATTTAAATCAGCTGTAGAAAACGTATTTCTCAAACCTGCAGTAACTGAGTTATATTATATGTAAAATTCTTCGCTGACGTTTTTTGTTAGTGCTCCAAGTTAGATTTAGTCATCTGTTTCCCGTATTTTCGCATTTTTCGTAGATTTCATTTTCCGGTGTCGGATTTGTTTTGCCGGGGTTGATAAAACATTTATCGTGTTACTGTAGATTTCGACATGCTGTTGCGTTCCCTTTAATATTTAGTTAAGGGTTTGTATTGCGACGAATGGGTTGGGGCACCTGATTGTTATGTTTATTATAACAATCGATCGATCAAGGGATTTTTCCGCAACGGGGGGGGAGAGAGAGAGCTAGATTAAATTATCTACGGTCAAAGGATTTCTTTGGATGTTCTAAAGGTTTCCCGTGGTGACTTGTAAGCAATCGACTTTCACTCAACAAATAGGGAAGGGGGGAGTTGTTTGAAAGGATAGATAGAGTGAAATAACCCTTGTAACAAGAACTTAATTTGGTATAATAAAATAATAAAATATTTATTTTAATAATAATCAATACAAATATGGCAGGACTTATTGATACATCTGTTCAAGCAAAACTCAATACAAAAAGGCAATTTGACAGGACTTATTGATATGGCCTGAAGTAATAATTTATCATTTTTTAATTGTCCAAATAATTATTGAAATAATCATATTTTTTTTTGTCAATCACTATTGTTACTTTTGTTAATAATTATTTGATATTTATTAATTAATTATGATTTGTAATAATTATTATTCTTCCAGAAATTACTATCATTATATGCATTAATTTTAAAGAATGATGAGATATTCAAAATATAAGAAAAAAAAGATAATGTTCATTCATAACAAAATATTTTAAATTTGGTTTTCAATACAAGTTGTATAGAAGACTAATTATAAAGAATTGTTTAAATTATTATGGAATAATATTCATGTAGAAATTAAGAGTCAAAATTACAGAATTAAAGAATTTGATATTATTTTGTAACAATATATAAAAAATATCTAAACTTTATTATAACTCAAGAAATTTTGAAGTGATTAATCAAAATATTAAATTAAAAGAGTATAAGTATATAGTTTAAAGTAACAAATTTATCAAGCAAAATTAAAAATTTCTTTAAGTATATATTGGAAAAAATAGCTTATAAGAATTATAAGTATACGCATAATAATTTTATAATATATTAACAAAATCTATTTGTGAAAATTTTCAAAAATCTACTATATTATACAAAATTATACAAAATTATTAAATATTAATTCAGAGATGTACTATAATAAGTATGACTATATATATATTCTAATGATATATATAAGTTAAAAATATGAAAAATCAAATATAAAAAGTTTATTTTTGTGAACAAAAAAAAATATTAATATTATTATTATTTTTGTAAAATTTAAGTTATTTATATATTATTAATACATTTCTATTAACTTAAAGATAAAAAAACTAAATTTTTATATTAAAAGTGACTAAAAACTATTAGTAAAGATAAATAATATATATTTATATTGTGATAATATCAAATATCTTTACTAAATTTTATGTATTTACTTTAGAGTTTCAAAGTTATAATATAAAATAATAAATTTTCCAAGTAACTGTCTTTCAAGTTAATAATAATAGTTTATTATAAGTGATTTATCTTTCAAAATTAAAACTAATAAAATATAACTATATAAATTACTATTAAAGTTTTATTATACAAGAAATTTAAGCTAAAATATATGATATATTTATATAAATTATATGTTATATAATATTACTAGTTTTATTATTGCTAATATTAACTTTTGAATTCATTATTTTTGTTATTATTAATTTAAATATAAATATTATAGTATTATTGACATTAATACAAGTTTTAATAATAATAATATTATTATTAATACAAGTATTATTATTATTAAGATAAGTATTAATATTATTAATACAAATTTAAAAATTAATAATATCTAAAATATAAATGTTTAATAAAATAACAATTTACTAAAAATAACTATTTAATAATAATTTTATTATTTAATAAAATTATTCATCAAATATCATATTATAACAATATATATTCTTTTATAATCAATACTAATTTCAATTCTATTTACAAATATAAGTATTATATACTGAATATTTATTACTGTAATAATTATTTTAATATTAATAATAATGTACAAGTATTTTATTTTTGAATTTACTTTATATTGCTACGGTTACTTTAAATGAAGGGTTTCTTCACTATTAGTAAAAGAGTCATATGAGTTGGGAGAGAGGAAT